TGTGTGTGTGTGTGTGTGTGTGTGTGTGTGAGAGAGAGAGAGAGAGAGAGAGAGAGAGAAGTATTGTTGGTCTCAATCTCCACTGGAAAGGGTAAATTTAGCCAAACAACTAGAATTATTTTCCAAATGTCAGCCTCCGAAATGGTTTCTTGCTCTCAGGTTAGCTTTAAAACACCAACCCGACTGAGTTTGTTGATTATTGTAGCTGTTTTCCCATTTTATCCTTAACTAATTTTTTTATACTTGACTTATTTTTATATTATTTTGTATTTTACAGTATCTGTAATTTTATGTTGACACCTAAACACTGGTTGAGAAAACATTAGTTGGTTTTAGCTACTTTTGCTATATGTGAGATTTCTCCCTGGAAATGTCAAATCCTAAAAAAATGATCATGAATTTAACAGGGCCATCCATAATCCCGCAATTTAGGATTATCTCTTATTGCTGCCATGGTGACTGAAAATCCCACAATGACGTTTTTAATGGGATGTTTTAATACACTTTGTCTTGATTGGACAGGTAGAGTACTCGAGATAGATAGATAGATATAACCTCCTCTTAGGTCATTATTGCGCAAAACCTAGAGTATTAGACTAAATAGTAAAGGTCACAGTTTCGATGAAAATACATGCATTTGAAAATTATATGTTTTGAATGCACTTGTAAGGGCCTTTGGATAAAACTGTCTGTCAAATTCCATTCTGTATGATTTCTTTAATGCACTTTCTCAGACATGCTGCTGGACTTGAGTGACCTCCTGCAAGTAAGTCCAGCATTTATATACGTATATATATATCTACATAATATTGTCAAAATAAATTAAATGACAAATAAATTTTCTTTGAAGGTTATGCACTGTTTTAGGTCAAATAAAAGCGGTAGCATTATACAGTTTTTTTTTCGGTCACACTTTATTTTAAGGTCCAATTCTCGCTATTAACAAACAATTAACTACGACTTTTGCCTCAGAAAGTCCTAATTTTCTGATTATTAATAGTTAGTAGGGTAGTTGTTAAGTTTAGGTATTGGGTAGGATTAGGGATGTAGAATATGGTCATGCAGAATATGTGCTTTATAAGTACTAATAAACAGCCAATATGTTATTAACAGGCATGATAATAAACAACTAGTTAATAGTAAGAATTGGTCCCTATACTAAAATGTTACCCAAATTTGTTACATTAATCATGTGAAAGGGGACCAAACAAAATACTGAAAATTCTGAAGTTCATGTACATTTTTAATTACAGCTTTTCACTCAAACTTTTTATGTTAGTATAATTTAGAATGAATAAGTTTGTATTAAAAATAACATAATGCAAAGTAGATGCATTTTCACTAGCAATCCCAGATGTTTGAACCCAGTTAGTGTGCGAAAGCCATTTTCCTCCAGCTGGTGTGTCCGTTTTATAGTTTTACCCTCCCAGCTGTCCTATTAAACACGCAGATCCTGTCCACTGCGGTATTTGAGTCATTAGGGAATTTTACCAGAGAAAGGACCCATAAATTCCTTTGCGCTTCCCCAGACAGAGGAGCTCTTTTGAGGCATAAGGCTGTCGCCGCCCCTCTCAGGTCAGGAGTGTGTGAGGGCCATCCTATTTTTCAGTGGTCATGACCTCTGACATCAACCAAAAAAGATTCCTCTTTAATGCCATGGGGCCCAGATGGAAGAAATAGGGTGTCTGTGTTTGAGCATGTGCGTCGTTCTTCATAGATATCTTTTTTTAATAATCATTAAGGTGGTCCATGAAGATAAGTATTGAGTTATATGTTGTTTAAAGCTTATTTTATTAAATATTTTTGTTATTGTAGTTCATCCTCTAAGGATAAGACACAGATACAGTTTGTGAGAAAGTGAAGACTCTGTGGTGATGCTGGTATGGATCCAAACACCACAGCTATGAACTCTGTAACCTTCAGCATCTGTTAAAATACACTCTGTTATGTCCCTTTATCTTATATCTCTTACTCTCATTGTCTGTTAAATGTTCCCACTGTCTCTTTCTTTGTAATTATTTTTTTCTTGACCACAAATTTGTGTCCATTTCTGACTCTTTCTTTCTCTATTGCCCTAGGTGAATGTGTATGTTTTGGGAAAAACCTTCCTTGTTTTAGCCAGAGAGCTGTGTATCAACGCGCCAGCTATTGGTAAGCATCACATAAGTGACATTTGTAGTTTCCCATGATGCTTTGCTGCTCATCCAAATTGTACTGGTAGTGAGTATGTGAGCTGGTCTTTGTAGTGCTGCTGTTAATGCCCAGAGGGTGCTGTGCAACTGTAAGTGAAGCTTTGCTTGCAGTGTAAATGTTTTAACCTGAATTGAACACTTGATTGATGGCGATGGTCAGTTGCTTTGCTCAATCAACAATACAAAGCAAAATTCGGACATAATTTTTTGCCCTTGTGTAATTATAAGTAAAATAACTTATTTGACTTTCTTTTGTTTCTGGATCAAAAATTTGTTTTTTGTCCATACAATGAAAGTCAGTGGGTTTCAATGTCGTTTTGAACCCTTTACTTTCATTATATGGGCAAAACAGCTGAAACATTCTTCGAAATATTGTCTTTTGTGTTTTAAGAATTCAGTCAGTCAATGAAGTTTGGAACGACATAAGGATGAGTAAATGATGACAGACTTTTCATTTTTAAAGTTTTGAAAAGTCATATTTTACCCAGAGTGAAACAGTATATGTCTTATGACTGCATTAGACAAAAGAATACAAAATACTGTTTGATGAATAGAAACAAACATTTTATGATTTTGCAGGCTCTTGAAACCCTTTTTCGGTTACTCAGCATCAAGCTGTCAACAAATAACCATTAAATAACAAGACAGAGGAAAAGCTGCCTAGTTTCAAGTGCAAACTGCCCATGTTTCACTGTACACAGGCATATTATGAATAATTAGAAATAAAATCTGCTTAAATTAAAGTACATGTTTTAAAACAGTATGTTTAAAGAAATAAATAAGTTTGGGCAGCATTCCATTATATGCGAGACGTAAAAAAATCGAATCAGAGGGGATAGTCTCCTCTTCTAGAAATGTCTTGCAGCTATGTTGTGAGTAAAGGCATTTATTCCAGGGGAAAAATTCCCCTGCTGTCTCTTCATTAATGGATCAGTCCAAGTTTTCACGCATAAAATATCAGCTCTGGAATCTGTCCCCCCTGCACCCCTGTCCCGTTAGTGCTGTCAGAGGAACACTGAAACTGAAAGGTGACTTTCCCACACTGGACTTCTGTCATTCCTTCCTGTCCAAAATAACTCAGCTCGCTCCCATCTAGAACAGCGCTAACAGTGTAGAACACGTCCTGCTCCACTTGTACCGGGTGCTCGAACCACACGGGGAATGTTGAGCTAGAACCATCTGACACAAATTTGGTCAAGTATTGTGCAAGAAGCACTCCCTGTCTCTTTAGTTCAATTCTGACGCTGTATTCTGCCTTCCCTCCACTGGAGCCATACAGACCAAGTCCGGCGATAAACACGCGCTTGTCCACAGCGAACTGGATACTGTCGCAGCGTCCGCGATAGCGCCACTGGTTGCTTCGGTACGCAGAGGATTGGAAACGGTGACAGCGTTGCGGCGTCAGCCCCTTTCTGGGCTCAACCGGGAATCCCAGCACAGGTTTCGTAGCCGCCGTGTACCAGAGAAAGATGCTGTGCGTTTCCTCAAGGGTTAAAATTTTCGACTGCGCAGCTCCATCTGCAAATTCCTGCAGTGTCATTGAAGGCAGACGCACAAGGTGCAAAGCCTTCCCCAGCACGGAGCGCTGGTTCTGTGAAGTGGGGGTCAGGCCTTGTCTCCGACACTCTGCGACGGCCCATCCCAGAACGGCCTGGAAAACCACCGCCTCCTTCATGTTCAGAGTTTCCCTTTGTAAAATGTGTTCTAGTGTGGGCAAGTCAATCTCAGTTAAACCTTCCGAGAGCAGCGCAAGCTCTGCCTGGGCGTCGATCACTTCCCAACACCTCTGAGTGAGCTCCGGCTCCTCAAACAGCCGACTTTGAGATAGCAGCACACACGCATTGCGCGCCTCCAGGCTTGTCTCGAGGAAACCCACACATGCGCGAGCCAGAGCAGACACCAGGTATTTTTTGGCAGCGTAAAGCGTAGCCAGTACTGTGTCGGCCGCCAGCTCTATCTCATCACTGTACATGTATCTGATAAAAAAGAGGGAGATAGAGAGTTTAAGGTAAATTGCAAGTGCCCCATAGGAAAAGAATAAAACGCTAAATAAAAAGCTGATCTGTTTAACATGCTCCTTTTTTTATTGCATCACTACTGCTTTAAATAGTGACTTCCAACTTTCCCAGGGAAAAAAGTACATCATTCGCATTCGCAATCCAATAAATGATCTCTAATAGCTCTGAATTAAGAGGGCGACTCCTAAATCAAAACATCACTGTCGGGGCCTCTGTGAACCCATCTGTGCTGCCTGGCATGAAAGCCGAGTCGCCCTGTTATTAATGCCAGGATGTGATTAGTGAGTGAGTCTTACTTGAGCAGGATGAGAAAAGCAGCGGGTTCCACATCTGGAATATGTATATCAGAGTCCCCTTCTGCGAGAGCCCCGTAAAACATGGCACAGAAAACAGAGCTCCCCACTGCCAGCACATACTGAGAGAGGGGGAAGAGACAATCTGTCAGTGTTTCATCTAGTTTCAAAGCATTTCCTTTTTCTGACACCTATTTCAGATCCACTGATAAGCTGATGGTTTGAATCAGGTGTGTTCGATTCAGGAGACAACCAAAATGTGAGGTGTGTGGGCTCACCTTGTGTGCCGGGACCCTTTCCGATTCACCGGGCGGACCAACAATGAAATGAACGTCTGCCATGTGTTCATTATTGAACATTAGTGCATTTCTGCAGTAAAAATAAATAAATACATTTAGTCTTGATATTACAATTAATAAATACAATAAAGAAAAAAATATGTAATATAATATTATTTAAGAAATGTTTAGATGTTAAGTATCTGTTAATGTTCATTATGACTTGACTTAAAGAATTGTACTGTAGTGAAAAATATATCTGAACAAGTTATTTAAAAAATAAGTGTGTGTGTGTGTATATATATATATATATATATAATTATGAAAATTAGATATTAAATATGTCAAACATTATGTATCACTTGATTTAATGCCTTGCCTTTCTTGTAAAGTCGGATGCGCGGAATGCCAGCTGGGAATCTCCACGTTGTTGTTGTTGATGTTTTGCTCTGTGGTCGGTGTGGTGGCGATGGACGCGGTGGACTGCGCAACTGGCTCCACGCTCCTCTTCCTCTTCTCTGGCAGACTCAGCATCACAGTCCCGTTCTTCTGCACTGTGGCGTGGTCGTTCACGGGGTACAGTTCCGCTGCCATCCTTTTCTTCAGGGAAAGAGTTAAGATGTTATAGCACAGAGACAGCCTGCCGGGGTGCTTGCTTGCCCGCTTCAACTTCTTTAACGTTTCAGGGAGCAAAAGTAAAAAAGTAACACATTTCATGATCCGGCCATGATGGGACAGCTTGCATTCCGGCGCAGCGGGCATCAGAACAAAAAAAGTTTGCCAAAATATGTGTAGAAAAAATAATGATCAGTTATAACCGTGGTCTGTGGTATTCCTAAATAATGTTGCGTTGTTTCCGTGTAAAAATAAAAACGGCTCTACTAAACGGTCACATAAATATTCGGATTTCAGCGAATATTTCATAGACATGCCATCCTCTTTTTCTCACGTCCTCTCTAATCCCACACCGAAAACTCCAAAACGAATCGTGTTAAAATCACTCAAAACCCTCACAACAAATATTGACAAAAATAGGGTCTGTAGTCTTATAACGGCCAAGCAGATCTTTCCTCTGCTGTGGCCACACCGAATGATTGTGAAGTTTGAGTTTATTTTGAGCTCTCTCTCTCGCGCTCTCTCTCTCTCTCGTCTGACGTCAAGAGTGGAGGGTTGTCTCTCCCAGAGCTCTCTATCCCGCCTGTAAATTCTGTGTTGCCATGTCTGCTTATTATAAGCAACACTTGGCTTGGATTTTTTCACATTGTTATGTGCTGTTTTTTTTGGATTATTCACATTATGTATATGTGAGTATATACATAGGCTATACCTAAATAATGCATACTATTTATCTATATAGGACATATTTATCGAAAATATCCATTACCCTAAATCAGATTGCCTGTTTTTTCACGCGGGATCTGGCAACCCTGCGATAATAGAACCTTCATTAATCTCTCTGTGGACTATGCAGTGATGAGGATTTTTAATTCTTCATATATACACGTGCATGTTCTAAATTTATAATATAAATAATCTCAACGTCTCCTGACATGATCCAAATCAAATAAAGGATCTTTGTGGGGGTATTTTTGTACATCAAATGCCAAGTTCGTCCGCACACGTCGTTTGTTTCGTTCTACAATATGTTTCTCCTAAACTAAATACATAACCATTATTTATATGCTATATCAGGCAAAGGTTTTATTAAAAACTAGTATTGATTTAAAGCAATGAGGTGGAAATGTTTCGCGTGTAACAGCTATCTCTATCCATAAATTCCAGTCCGCGCGCTGCAATTTGTTACAAACCAGTTTGCGTTCTGAAAATGTAACGTTTACCTCACACTTCAACTGTTCTACAAGTGCAAACAATACGAGAAAAGATCGTGCGTGTTCTTTACCTTAAATTCTGTATTTTATGCGCTAGTTTGTTGTCATCACACAGCTGAGACAGTGCGCTCGATTCAAAGCGATGTCTAAAGTTTTATTGCTCCGGTTCACTGTTGGTCGTGATGGAGTCTGAAACCGGACGAGGGCTGGACTTGTGGAAATACTGTAGTGCGCACGACTGCTGTCTAGCTTTTGAGGATCTTTTGGTCTACTTCACTTTGTCAGGCAGGTCCTATTTAAGAGATTTCTTGATTGCGAACAGGTGTGGCAGTAATCAGGCCTGGGTGTGGCTAGTGAAATTGAACTCAGGTGTGATAAACCACAGTTTTAACAGGGGGGCAAACACTTCTTGTGGGCCATGTAGTTTGGGATTTTGTTTTCCCTTAATAATAAAAACCTTCATTTAAAAACTGCATGTTGTGTTTACTTGTGTTATCTTTGACTAATATTTAAATTTGTTTGATTATCTGAAACATTAAAGTGTGACAAACATGCAAAAAAATAAGAATTCAGGAAGGGGGCCAACACTTTTTCACACCACTGTATGTAGTGGGGATTTGATCAGTGTTTCCCAACCTTTCTTGATTTGTGTACCCCCACAGTCTCATCATTTAGGCTCAAGCACCCCTTAGTCAAAATTAAACCAGAAATGTATTGATTTTATTGTGCTGAATATATGGCAACATTATTAAAATGACCATTATTACAATCAATCACTTAACTGCTGTAGTATTTTTCTTTGTGTAGTTCATATTTTACGGTATTTATGCAACACAATTATTCAGGTTCAAACTAAAACATTTAATATTGTTGGTGAAAAAAATATATCCAGTCAGGTACAAGATTCTTTATTGGTATGCATGGTTTCATAAGACCTTTTAACTTCCATTGAATATTTCCATTGCACAAAAAGTGGAATAACGTATTCTTAGATTTTAATGTTCTTCCAAACAAGAAAAAAATGGTTGGATCACCAAAAGATTCTTTGGAAAACCTAAAATGGTTCTTTTGTAGTATCACTATGAAACCCCCCTTTTGGGATCTTTATTTTTCAAAAGTGTAGCGCCTCCTCAAACTGAATCAGTTTATTGAATCTAGCTGCTTTTACACTAGCACAAAAAAGTACTCATCTGACTCAAATCAGATATTGTTGCACATGTAAACACAAAAATACACATTAGATTAAGTTTTTTCACATCGGTTTTGAGCCACTTTTTATATCAGATACATATGATATCTGAACATCTGACCAACATCTAAAAATGTATACCCAATTCCCATTGGCATGGGAGGACAAAACAACCCTGCATTTAGATTGATAATGGTTTGATTGAATGACTGAGGAATTTGATGGGAAGAATCTTAAAAAAAAAAGAGAGAACAGTTGAGTAAAATCTCTCTCTCCAGAGTCTAATTACCATAAAAATCTAAGATTATATTTATTTAAATATTAATAAAAGAAAAAAAACTTTACAGCCCTAATCATTTTGATGTCATCATTTATTTTTTTTTATAGTTTTAATAACTCAAAATCACCCCCATGAAGCCTGATTAAGTTCCCACTGGGCTACACATATCCCTGATTGGGAATCATTGGATAAGATGGAAGATTTCCTGATGCTTTGTTGAGCAGAAAATCTTTTGAGTTTTTCACACAGTGCCATCACCTTTTGAAAATATTATTGGGAAACTGTCAAAAAATTTAGCTCCCTCTATTACCTGTAATGTTTCGTTTACCATTAAAATGTTTATAGTTTGAGAGTCCAGCAGTTTGCTAAAGCTTAATAATGGAGGTTCTCTGTATGTAGTATTTAATGAGAATTGTGAGCATAAAGGTAATATTTGTTGCATTATCATAACTAATTACATTTTGACTGAACACTCATCAGTGGTCATGAGCCAACGTATTAGTATTTTACGAACGTTATTGAACTGAAAATGCAACAGTGTGTTTAAGAAGGTCTAAATCTACTCTATCTAGCTTTGTAGTCCTAAGAGTTTTGTTTCTTACAGATCCGTGTCTTTATATCCCGCGCTTTGCGCAAATGCTGGAATTTGGAGAGAAGAGCCATGAGGTTTCAATGACGGCACTGCGTCTCCTTCAGAGGATGAAGAGAGACTGGATGCACACGGGACGAAGACCTTCAGGCCTCTGTGGAGCAGGTAACCATGGCAACCCTCCCCTAACGGTGCGACCTCTTTAATGATGTGAGCTAGTGAAGGGTTGCTTTGTTAGATGCGCAAAAGCACATACACCATCGCTGAAACATCCACAGTTGGAATGCATGCTCCAGAAACCCCTTCCAGAACGTAAAGTTTTGTCTGTTGTAGGAAACATTTTAAGATGCAGTATATCTGTCATAATATGTAATTAGATCAGCTCGTGCATTTGAAGCAGTTCCAAAATCAAATCACCAATCAGTCTTGATGAAAACGAACGATTCCTGAAAATGTTAGTTTTCTCACACTCGCTGAGGCCTTTCTTGACACTGTGAATTGCCTCAGAGATCCAGTGCAGCTAATTTCTAATGCATTTACAACAATATTGGTTTTACTTTCTCACACTTTCAGTCTTGTGTAAACTTGACACAGTCTAATAATACTGAGTTCCAGTAATTAAGTTTTTAAAATAACTGACTCCTCCTGACTCTCAGCTTGAGTTTCTCTGCCCCCCCTCCACTGCATAACCTGAATAATTAATCTCCCATTAATCTTTTAGAAGGAGTGCTGAGAATAGAGGAAGCATGAGCCTAAAGAGTTTGTTTTTCGCAGCGATAGATCAGAGACTTGAGAAAGAAAGGCAGGCCAACAGAGAGAATAAAAGAATGTGAGAAAGACCCAGAATGAAGACAAACTGTGATGCAGGGAGAGCCGCTGAGCGTGATGAAGGCCTCAAGCTTATTGAATAGTCCTCATGTAGTAGCTGGAACACAGATTGGTTTGATATCCTGCAGGGTTAACAGCAGAGGAGGAAACGGCTGTTTTTATTACACCACATGAACTTGAGCACAGGATCGCACTGGGTTAGACGTAGCTGATAACTCTGAACATGTAGGGGAGAGCAGGGTAAAATGTGTCATCGCATTAATCATGTATTTATATGATGTAAGGACTCTCATATAATGCTATCTATGATTGAGAGATGCATATGAGAAAAGTGATGTGTTTTTTTTAAATACTTTTTTATATGACAAAGTACTTTTTATTTTATTTATTTTTTTTCATGAAAAGGTCTATATAGATCTAAACATATTCACTATCATCCAGAAGTTTAGGGTCGGTAAGATTTAAAAAATATTTGAAAATATTTTGAAAAAGTCTTCACCGAAGCTGCATTTATTTCAATTGATCCAAAATACAGTTAAAAGCATAATATCCTGAAATATTGTTACAATTTCAAATAACTGTTGTCTGTTTTAATATTTTTTTTAAATGTAATTTATTCCTGTGATGGAAAAGCTGAATTTTCAGCAAGCCATTACTTCAGTCTTCAGTATCACATGATACTGATGAGTTTATGAATTAGAAAATAATTTTTTCTCATTTATGTCCATATTTGTATTTGAAATTTAAATAGTGTTTTGCTTTTCCACATTTTGGAGAGGTTAACCTTGCATTATTGTTTTTAATCTCATCTCTCCTTACTTGCAGGACAATCTAAATCAGAAGTGGCACACCTTACCCTTTTATCCATTAAAATGATGTCAGTTTAAGCTGTTGTTGGCAGTCAAATAAAAAGCAAAAAGTCAGTAAAATAGTTTTGGAGAATGACAACCTCAATGTCATATTTCTAATTAGTTCATCTTTGAGGAATCATTAAGCTCTAAAATTCTTCAGTATCTTTTACATGGTTGCATGCTTTGTGGTGTTGGACATTCTTCAGATTGTCAAGTAGCTCTGAAGTGCATCTGGCTCTTCATGTTTCTTTAATGAATCAGAGTGAAACAGGCATCAGGGGTTCTGTGGTATTGCAGGTGCATTTAATGTCTGTTTGTTCTGCCTGAGGTGAGTCAGTAGGGGGGCAGGTACAGCGGATGCACTTTTCTGAAGCCTTATTAATGTTTCATATTTGACTATGCGTCCGCTCTCCTTTCCTTCTCTCTTATCCTCTCTTTTTCTCTTGCCATTGGCTGTATGTTGTCCCTACATTTGTGTATTTGTGTTCCCTGTAGCGCTCTTGGTTGCTGCCCGTATGCACGAGTTCCGTCGCACAATTAAGGAAGTGATCAGTGTGGTGAAAGTCTGTGAAGCCACACTGAGGAAAAGGTGTGTTTTGTCTTAAATAATAATCACAGTATGGCTACAATCTTTGCTCA